GCTGCAGTTTGAATTTTGGGATCAGTTCCATGTAGATGAATCACCATTTAGATGTAAATGTGATCCACTCTTCACCCTCCAAAAACATAATGAGAAAAGTCTCACAACGTGTTTTAAAAAAAAAAGTTGAATCTCTTTTTTAACTTGAGCACTGCATATTTAGAATGGCATGTAATGCACAAGACGCTGCAAAAGTCGTGAAACATGAGTGCAACAGTCAAATACATCTGTCTAGCATGTGTTCGCATAGAAAAACAATGGAAAAGTAGCACAATGGAATTGAAAAATGCATTCTGTGTGAACGGGCCAAAGAATATTATTTAACACATTCAGTATCTAGATTTTACTAGTAATGGCTCAATAATCTTTTTATTGCCTTTCTCTGATTATCATATCAGCAAAATCCCAAATCAGTCAACTTCTAATTCCTTGTGTATTGATTTATTAGTACATAAACCAATTTCAGTACATATGTGAGTGTTTTAAACAGTTGCAGTTACCCTGTTTTGCAGTTAAATATTTACCCGTGTCGGTTTAATTAAGTAAATGAATCTAAGATACATTCATTTTAAGATTGTATCAGTTTGTTTTGTATAGACATTTGGTATTAATTTTAAAGTCTTAAAGTTGTTTTTAAATACCTTTACCGGCAGAAAGAAATTAGTCCTGGACCATTAATGCTTTTTAACGCTAAGGCAGAGAGAGGTATAGAGCATTGAGTTCACAGATCGCACTTCAATATTGGATCTTTTACTATTGTTCTGAATGGTTCTGCTTCTTCAGGGCGAGAGAGGCTTTCCCGGACCACCAGGAATACAGGGCGAGACTGGCTTTGGGCTTCCTGGACCAAAGGTTGGCTTTTATATAAAACCTGTGAGATCAGGAACCCAATGAGCTTGTATCTGTGATCATAACATGCGTTTTCTCAATCTGTAGGGTGATGTGGGGTTCCAAGGCAGAATGGGTCCTCCCGGGCCTCCTGGGCTCGGCGAGCCGGGCCAACCGGTAAAGATATGCAAGTGATCATGCTCAATAGAGGTTGTAATCGACATTTAACGCAATGAAGTCGTTGTATTAACTTCTACAATCATGTTTACTCTGAAGGGCCCACAGGGGCCGCAGGGTTTGCCAGGAGAGAAGGGCCCAACAGGAGAGGGTTTACCCGGACCAAAGGTAAACATGTCATTGGACACAGTTTCAGAATGCAGCGTGTGTGAGTCAAATCATAGTTATGAAGAGGTTTAATATGTTTTTATGCAAGGTGTCTTGTGTATGTAGTTTATATCAGAGAACCTTTGAACTTTGTGACCTCTGACCTCAATTCATTTTCTGAGTGATCCAGCATTCTTTCATCATTTTTTTTTATTAAATAATGGAACATAATCAATCTTGCTGTTGTTTGACTCCGTATCTGAAAAATGCAGGGTGTGTCAGATATATTTATGCATTTGGCAGATGCTTTTATCTAAAGCAACTTAAAGTGCTTTCAGTAAATGTGTTGCCTGGGAATCAAACCCATGACTTTGGCATCGCTAGCGCTGTGCTTTATCAGTTGAGCTTCAGAGGCTTGTTGACACAGGGCAGAATGAGATTTTAAATCGTGTTTTTGCTTAGGCAACCATTTTAACAACCAAAACACCCTGGCAGATATCTAGATAACGTACTATGTAGAAAATAATTAAATAAATAAAAAGATGTTGAAGGCTTTTCTTTGAAGCAGTTTTAACTCAAATAATTACAAAGAAACAGAAAGTAACACAGTGTATAAAACACGGCATTTTGAAGTAGAAAGTATTTTCTTGTAAAACGTACTCCAATAATCTTTGTTTCATTTGTTTCTTTTTCATTTACAACTTTTTTTTACAGTTTTGCATCATGGCAAAATTTTTCATCAGAGGCTGTAAAAATACACTTTCTGTTTATGAATATGCCAAATGTCTTAATGGTTCTAAAATAGGATTCATTTTCTCTTCTCCAAATATATATATATATATTTTTTTATTTTTATTTATTTTTTTTATTTTATTTTTTTACATTTTAGGGTGAATACATTTTTTTTTGAAAATGTGATGGCAATGCATTGTATAAATTTGATGGTTCACACTTTTGTCTTTTACAGGGAGAGAGGGGTCTGGAGGGGCTGAAAGGACCCAGAGGACCAGTAGGTCTTGGCATTAAAGGAGACAAGGTAAAATGACTGAATGAAATTTGATTTTTAAGTGA